AACATCATTGTCGTTACAACTACTTCCATGACATTTGGTTAGTTTAACTCCTACAATAAACATATTGTACTTGTCAAATAGAGAGATAATGACTAGGTTCTCAACTATTAAGATCATTTCTTAGACACCTCAATGTTTTGACATATGAAGTGGTCCTAAATCCTAAATAACTTTCAAATTATCTCCTAAGCAATAATTGCATTTAACAGGATACCACCAAATAATATGATCCTATAATGAGCGAAGCAGCAATGCAGAAGTGAAATGATCAAATGTAATTCACAATACCTCAGTAGAACAGAGGAGTGGGTTAAGTCGTTCCCGTGGCCTTAAGATTGCAACTCAACTCCTGCCCTCCTTATCATTGGAACATCTTTAGCAGGACCAAGTCCTTTTGTTGTCTACGTAGGTTTGGTGACTGACGAACCAGATTTTCTTACATTGCACTGTAAACATCAGAATCACATAACAGGTCATATCTGATATATGGAAAATATTCAACTATTTCCATGTGTCTTGTTAACTGAATCAAACATTCATAAATCTGATCGGACTGAAGATGCATCTTGTCTCTAACAATAAACTCAAAAATATTTCCATTTACTTCAACGGAGCTGCAACCAGGTGTCTTTTGTAATCCCCTTTCACCCATCATCTTCCTCACATCTCGTGCCTTATGTTGCATATTTGCTTCAACATACATGTTAGCAAGTAAGACATAAGTTCCACTATCACCAGGATCCAATTCAAGAAGTTTCAAAGCTGCCTTTTCCCCCATCTCAATGTTCCTATGAACTCGACAAGCAAAAAACAATGCTCCCCATACTGAAGCATCAGCCTCATTTGGCACCCCACGGACTAGCTCATAAGCTTCTTCCAGGAGCCCTGCCCTGCCCAAAAGGTCTACTATGCAAGAGTAATGTTTAGATTTGGGGGGAATTTTGAACTTTTTGCTCATTTGAGCAAAAAACTTTCGCCCTTCTTCAACCAAACCTCCATGACAACAAGCTGACAAGACCCCAAGAAATGTGACATCATCTGGTCTCAGGCCACTGTCAACCATCTTCAAAAAATATGATAGAGCATCATGTCCATTTCCATGATGCGCCAAGGCACCAATTGCAGCTGTCCAAGTCAATGAGTTTCTGATGGGCATCTCATGAAAAACCTGAAGCGTTTTTTCGATGTTACCACATTTGGCATACATATCAACAAGTGCAGTTCCCAGAGAAACAGTTAAACAAAGCTTATGTTTTTTGATGTAGTGGTGGAGCCAAATCCCAATATCAAGTACTCCAAGTTGTGCACAAGCTGATAGACAACTAACCATTGTAACTTCATTGGGTTTTATATTCATCGTTTGCATTTCCTGAAACAAAACCAATGCCTCTTTACTGCACTTAGATTGGACATAACCTCCAATCAAGGCATTCCACTGTACAATATCTTTCTCCGGCATCTCATTGAAAACCCTCCTCGCTTCATCCAAACACCCAAATTTAGCAAACCCGCTAATCATTATAGTCCAACTTACCACAGTCCTCTCATCCATCCTATCAAACAAAGCCTTTGCTTCATTTAGACTCCCATTCTTCATATACATGTCCATGAGTGCATTGCAAAGTGGTATGCTAAAATATAAACACTTGTCCCTAAAGTATCTATGTAACTTCCTCCCAAGCTCCAAATCCTCAAGCTGAGCGCATGCCCCTACCATCCCAATGATAGTAACTTCATCAGGCTCCACAGACTCCATTTTCATCTTCTCAAATACCATCAACGCTTCCCTCGATCTCCCACTCCTAACATAACCATTAATCATTGAATTCCAAGAAACTAGGTCCCTCACAGAACTATCATCAAACACCTTATATGCATCCTCCAAGAATCCACAAGAAACCAAAAAATGAATCACTGCATTATGCACAAACACATCTCCATCATAACCAATCCTCAAAACATGTACAAGAATCTCTTGACCCATATAATACAAACCCAATCTAGAACATATCTTAAACAACAAAGGAAAAGTATGATTATCAGGCTTCAAACAACTAAATTCATTCTCTACTGTCATAAGCATTTGTTTATACAAAAAGAATGCATCGATTGGGGTTTCACTTTCACAACAACCCCTTATAGCTATATTCCAAGAAAATGTATTTGGGTTTTCCATATTATACAATATTTTTTTACAATAATCAAGATAACCCTTTTCTGAAAGTGCACAAAAGGCTATTAAACGACTTGAAGCAAACCCATTTGAGAATATGCCTGTGAGAATCATTTGTGAGTGGATTTGTTTGAGTTGGTTCATGTATTTGCATTTGGTTTCTAAAAGAGAAAGTAGTGGATTGGTTTGTACAAAAACATGATTTGTCCTCCATTTGAATTGGGATTTGGTTTTGTAATGGGGTAATTTAGAAGAAGAAGAAATGGTTTTGGAGAAAAGTTTTAGTGTACAATGGTGAAGTGATGAAGAGCTGAAGGATTGAGAAATGATATGCATCATTCTCTTGGAAAGAAAACAACTTTAGCCATATGCAACTGTTGGTAACAGAACAGTGAGAGCTTTAACCCAATGAGGACTTTTGGCATAAATTTAAATTTAATCAAATTTTAATAGGAGTATTTAATATCGGGTGAAAAATCTTCATTGAATAGGATATTATATTGTTAATTTAAATATAATAGTATTTGTTTTGATTGTTACTTAAATTTTATTATATCGTGTGATTAAATTTATTATTTTTTAATCGAATTCTTTTTACTTGTTTTCAATATAGTAAAACATCTTTTTACTTATCGATTTTTATCGAATTCATTTTACTTGATTTCAACAAAATAAAATATCATGTTCAGTGATAAAACTGTTGTCATTAAAAGTTTTTTTCCTTCAAAGTGTCTATTGGTCATAAAAAATTTAAATATTGTATTTAAAATTTAAAAAAATACTCAAGACTCTATTTTCACATTTATATATTCTTTTTTTTCAAATTCATCCTAAAAAGTTTACTTTTATAAAATTCATTAGTGTACGAAATGACTTGAGAAACTAATGTACTTGATTTTGTTTGTCAGTTGGATAATCATGCTCACTACTTGCCAATGAAACTCTTAAATCCAACGAAACTTGACATTTAAACATTCTTGAAAATGACACATCATCATCCACATCAAATTTTAAATGACACGTCACTTATTTTTTCTTTTATTTTAAAATTTTTGAAAAGAAATTCACTTCATTCCTCACCGTTGTCTCTATCCCTTGACCATCTCTTTCCATTTTCTACATTAGAGACACCATCACAACCTTCCTTCTACCGGTTCGATCACTTCTCTAAATAACTAAAAAATCACTATTCCTATTCAAGTTTGCATCATTCACAATTTATAATCATATTTTTTTTCTACCAACGTGTACATCCACCAGTTAAATCACCATAAATTCCTTTTCTCTATTAATGTCAATGAATCACTATTAAAATATTTTAATATGTTCTAATATTTGTATATAAATTTACATAACATACTTCACCTAATTCCACAAAGACATTTAACAATTACTTTTTACCCTTCGAAACTATTGATTTTTAACTTCACAAGTTGTAAATTATCCCGAAAATGGAAATAAAAACAATAGCACAATTTCTTCGAAATTTTGGGGAGAAAGAGAGTGAAAAAGAAATGGGGGATTGGGTGGGATAAACATGGAGGGTAGAAAGAGAGAGAAAAAAATGGGGAGGGGTGGGAAAAAGAAGAAAGAAGTGAAATTTTTAATTTCTTATTTTCATTTTGTCTTGCCTTTTTATTTTATGTTTATTTTTTGTAATTATTTTTAGTCGAATTTTATGTCTGATCCATTTACGCGTGAAATTATATATTTGTTCCAAGTCAATTATTAAGTTGCCATATAGGTTTGATCAATGATCAGGTTAGGTTTAAAATGCTGAAATTCTTTGGATTTTAAGGATTTTGTTGGAAATGAATAGGAGGGTCCAAATGATAAACAAAGCCAATAAAAAGCTTTTTTCAGGTCATTTTGTCTTTATAAAATAACTTAATTTAAATTCAAAATATGTATTGAAAAAAACAATGATCAAACACAACTCTAATTCAACTTTAAAAATTCCAAATAAAATGAAATTGTTTTGATTTTTATGGTCAAATAACAAATGTCCGCATAGTTTCATAATTCTATTTCTTTATCGACTTTTTTCAAGATTCCACTGTTTACATTATTATTTTTTTCTTAAATGTATCCCTCCCTTTTTCACAAGTAAAGCATCTTTATAAAGGCAACCAGCATACAAGAAGCAGACTTTGCTGCCAAACTCAAAATCGCTATTTAATTTGAAAAATATATTGGTTTCTTTTTCTGTTTAGTCAAGTATATCATCTGAAATTTATATTAGTTTATAACTCTTTATTCACACAAGCGAGTAGAGTTATTTTGTTTGTTGAAATGATTAATATGTTGCATAGTTTTGTATTAAAACAATACATGTTAAAAACAATAAAAAATAAAAATATGATGTTAAAATAAATAGATTTTTGTAAAAGGTCCATCTCCAAAAGGTTTTCATAGAGATAAGGTTTAGGGGGTAAATAATTTTGTGGCGAAACAAAGGGCTAAATAGCAAAAGTGATTCCGTGAGACTGCAAACTAGTTTTCAAGGGCCCTAACAATCTCATCCCTCCAGTTTCCAGGACATTTTCAGGTGCAAATACAATTTTGTTTTATTGCTTTGGTCAGAACTAAGAAGATACAAGGAGTGCTTCGAGAGAAATAAAATCACTGCAAGCTACAAAGGGTAGAAATATGGGGGGATGAAAGATATTGGAATGGGCTTCTTCGAGATTATAAAAACATGAAAAGGGTAAAATAGTAAACTACCAACTACCTTTTAAACTAGAAGGCAACAAGTTTAACACACCAAAACAAGCCAAAAACCACCTCGTCCCATAACTCTGTGAGACATTTCATAAATTCCATGATTCAAGTCTAGAACAGCAAAATCCATAAATATGAAACTAGGCGAATATATGGCCATAATGCCCGCTGTCTGCGTTATTAGAAGCTGATAAGATAGGCCGGGTAAATCTAGCTACTGGGAAAACTGCATCAGATCAGAAGAGGGCGAGGAGCTACTAATCTGCACAAGTTTACAATTATAGAACACCAAAATAACCTATATACTAAAGACAACTGAGACGAAATCACTGTACAAAATCACTTTACTCCTACTACTACTCTGTTTCCTTCTGATTAGCCATGAAGATAATTGCATCTATCACCCTTTATGCATCGATTGTTTGTATTATATGGACACGGGACATTATTCTTTTTGAAGCCACCTCTAGACGGCCCTCTACTCCCAAAAGACGATTGCCTATCCCAGTTCCTACCCTTGTCCCTCTGACCAGAGAATCTCCCATCTTGATGCTGATCATTATTTCTTGTGCCTCGATTCCCATTAGGTCCACCCCTACCTTGATTTGAATCTCCTTGAGGTGGTGGTCTTTGGACAAGTGCTCCAGGATTTCCAGCTCCCATACCCCACCCATTACCAGATGTAGGCCCTTGAATAGTTGAACCCATGCTCCCTGTTGGAGCAACCCAACCTGGATTGGCATTCCCAGGCGTCAAGCCCTGAACACCAGCATTCCCAGATTGTGCAACCCATCCAGGATTCACATTCCCAGGAAGTGACCCAGTCGGAGCCCAACCAGGATTTACAGTCCCTGGAGGCATTGCCTGAACTGCTCCCCAATTTACATTCATGATTGCTGGTACAGGTCCACCCCAGCCCACATTTGGATTTCCAGGCATCATACCCCAGCCAGTGTTATTCTCAGGTCTTAATGCTGAAGCAGAACTCGAATTCTCTTGCAAACCAGCACCCCATGGAACACTAGGCACAGTTGTAGGCTGTATGATCTGTTGGCTGCCTTGAGCTGGTGTGCTCCAATAATCAGGCTGAGGCAAAACTGAGGCACCTGCATTTGAAAAATTTCCCGCAAGATTCTGTACAGATGAGGAAGTAGTACCCCAATTACCATATCCCTGGGACTGTCCTGGTGCCAGAGCAGAAATGTTTGGCTCTCCCTTAGAAGGTGCTGCCGCAACCCATGTATGGACATCCACACTAGGGTTCTGTAAATTAAGAGATACTGACTGGAGAGCTGCATGCTGTGCACCAAGTTGGCTATTAATCAGTGCTGTCTGTTGCTCACTAGCTGCAAATGATTGAGCATTTTGCAAAGAATATCCAGACTGTGCAGCAATGACCTGTTCAGAAGTAGGCACTAGACCAAAATCACTACCAGAATTCACATAATTATTTTCCGATCCCCTAATTGAAGGCCCACCAAAATTTTGAACTGAAGCAGATGCATTAACACCATCATCTGGTGGGGCTGGAGGAGATTGGAGAATTCTGTTGCCACTAGAATACGAATTTGCACCTGCAACAGATGGCCCATCTCCCGCAACCCAACCGGCAGTATTCTGCTTTGGAGTAGGAGATGGGAGATTCAAAGAATCATCATTACTCCACCTCTCAGTAGAAAGCGCAGAAACATCACCAGAAGTCATTCCACCACCAGAAGGAACCAAACGACGAGAATTCTGAGATCCAACATTCTGGTTGACTCGAGGTCTCTCTCCATTTTGATTTTGCAGAACAGTGGCTGAAAGTATATTGTCAACTGCTGATGGCATTTTCTCAAACCTCCCTGCCAGTGCATCAGTCAAAAGAATAGACTCCTCTTGTTTATTTGAAGATCTCCATATTTTCAAATCAGCAGGGAAGTATCCTGTATTGCTCCATTTACGCAACTGGACCAGAGAAAATGGTCCCTGTATTTTACCAGAAGGGTCCTTGTAATGCCACACTTTTTCAGCTTCATTGATCTTGATGGAACTTTCTGCAACCTTACCCTGGAGTGTAGCTGGAGAAGATACCGATGATGCACCAGAAAATGACTCCATTCTCGACAAAAATTGGCTATTCCGTCCCATTGGCTCAGAAATAGCAGCAGAAGTCGGTTTATCTATGTTCATAGATTCTGTCTCCTTATCTCTTCCTTCAATCCATGTGTCTTCATTCAGTCCCCCTCCAGAATGCACACCATCTTCACTTCTGCTCAAAACGTTTTTACCAGAGGAACTCCTGTTTAGTTCAAAGTTCTTTGAAGAAAATTTTCCTGCAGCCCCCCAAAAATCTTTTGGAGAGAAGTTGCTTCTTGGAGAAACTGGCCCACGTCCTCTCCGGTTAAGGCCTGAATCCCTAGACCTCATATAAGCATCTGCATGAGAAGAAGCAACTCTCAAATTATACACTGCAAAGCATATTATTCATAGCATATGAAGAAGAAAGGAAAGCAAAGCATACTATTCATAGCATATGAAGAAGAAAGGAAACTAATAGAACCTCGTCTATCATTACTTTCACTGTCCTCATCCTCTGACTCATAGCTTGGGTCCATTTTTGGATCTGCATGTATTTCTGGAACTTCCTCAAGTCTACGGTGACGCTCATCGGGGGTCTTCAAGAGCTGTAGTTTCTCTACACATTCTCTAAGTGTAATCATTAGTTAAGGAGTATATTAAGTGCGACTGATTCAGCCCAAGCAACATGAAGCAAAGACCAATAGAAGAAGGGATGAAAGAACTGCTTCTAAAGGTATCATATATGTTTAGGCAACACAGTATTCAAGGTCCAAAATTCAAGCAATGCCGAAGTGAGGATAAGTTTACTTCAATAGCACCAATATACCCATCTACGTTCAACAACATATAGAACAATAATTAAAGGAGATCTAAATAAAAATGGGAACATATGAAGTCATGAATTACTCAATAATTAAAGGAGCTCTAAATAAAAATGGGTACATATGAAGTCATGAATTACTGCATGAGCACAGAACAATAGTAATATGGCGACTGAATACTAATGCAAACCCATCCATAACCTGAAGTACATATGCAAATAGAAGTGTTCATAATTTTCATCAGCAAACTTTAAGCCATCCTCTGATATTAAGAAAAAATGTTATTAGGCCCTAGCATTGCACACAATATATCGACCCAACAGTCCTGCCTCCAGAGAAGGAAAATGGACACCAACGAAAACTTATTCAAGCAAATATTACACTGCAGTTTGATAATGGCAGAGGGAAGGGGAAGGGAATAGAAATGATAAAATTTTGGCGAACAAAGGATATTCCTTCTTGCGCCCTTTCTCACTAGCTCGATCACGAAGATGAGAGAGACGGGATATCTCTGATTCCAGCCACTGAACATCAGCAAAAAGAATCAGGTAAGATATATTAGAACAAGTTGGGAACCCAGTAGAGGATGACCACAAGCAGAAGGAATCCATTAGAAGTGCAATCAAAGAACACAACCATTACAGAGCATACCCTCACAAATTTTGTCCACAACAAGAGGAATAGAAATTTTTATGCTGAAGTCCCTCAGAAAGCAGTAGCTATCTTTTCACGAGATATCATCAACTACGGCAGTGTACTAAGAGGACAAAAACGACCAGCCAGTAAATCATAGTCAACTTTTAGAAAGTTCATGAATAAGATAGTTTGTCGTCTAACCATTATTTATCTTTTTGAAATAGGTAATGTTGTATTCCTCAGCATTAAGGTATGCTGGAGACCTCCAAAAGGGTAGTAACAAGCTAAAACAAAAAATTAATTACAGTAATCCTAAAAGATCTACTAACTGTTCAGCATTTTCTATACAATGTTCTTTACACCAAAAGTAGAAAGTTCCAATGCAGCTTCTTTTGATTTTCTGAATGTCATCTAACCATCATCGCTAGATAAACAGTTTGAGACTGGGTAACTGAACTCCAAAAGGTTATGGTATATTTCTTGACGAGCTTATCCAATCCTTAGAATGAAAAGGTCAATTACAAGACACAAATTCCCCTCATCCATTTACAATACTGCTTACGATATGCCCTTTTCTATTTTCTCTAATAGATGTCCTAACTAGTCTTTAATAAGGTAAAAGATTGTATTGATGTTAGGAGTAAATCCCACTATACAAGAGGTATAAAAAAAACAGAGAATCTTACCCTAATAGCTATTTGAGTAGATAAAAATGCATGTCAAGGACCAGGCACTGGAGGTCAAATAAACAGTTAGCTAGTCCAAAAAGGGCGCTTATAAATAGGATTTCAACAAGGTATCATGAAGATTGCACATGTATTCAGGGACAGAAGAGATAGCCACACAGATAAGGAGAGACTCCCTTGATTCCAGTTCAAAGAAAGTAATAGAGGAAATAATCTGCCAAAAATAGAACTTCTAACCAACTGCTGAATAACTTTCTTCAACCTTATTAATCACTGGCACATCTTTAAATGACAACCAGATGCATATCGATAGAAGTAGTCCAAAGAAGTGTTTCCATTTCACTAACCTCATTAACTCTTGCTGCATGTATTTCCATGGCCTTGTCAAGAATGTCACCCTGTGAATAAACCAATTTAATAAGCAGATGAAAATAAGTGCAAACCTGAAGTAATTACCAACATTAGGCTGCATCATACCACTGTTGGTCTATTAATGAGTCCACATCTTATACTCTGGCGCAGACGCTTGCATTCTTCCTGAAATGTCAAAAGAAGATACATATGAACAGCTTGAACAGATTCAATGTAATCAATTTTTAATATACAAATTTGTCAGATCAATGGACCAAAATCAGTTCAACTTATTACGTTTATTCACTCTTATTTCAGTTTTATGGAATATAGTTCACTTCTATTATTTTCTTTTCATATTTTATGGGACTGATTTCTTCTTTATTTATTAGATTCAAAAATTAAAATACTGAAATTAATAACAAATAATCAAAAGGCAATTTAGGAAGCCATCACAACTTTTCATAATCAAATAAGTAGCAAATAAATAGAAATTAATTAATTAAATTCAACACTTATTTTAATCTAAGGTTGAAAGAGAGTTGATAGTATAAAAGAACAAAAGAACAGAAAAACAAAAGCATCAGAACAGAAATAAAGGTAGTGTAAAAATCTACCTAAAGGAATCAAAATTTTAAAAAATTAAAAGTATATATAAAAACAAATGATTGAGAGGGTGGGAAAGCCTGATAACAAAAGTAAATAGACTAATACCAGGTTCGAAACCTGGGTTTCTCCTATGGAGAGACTTTTGGTTTCTCCTATGGAGAGACTTTTGGGGGCTTGGGCAACCACTAACCAGTGCACCAGCTCATTGTTTATTCATACAAAGGGCACAGTTACTATATGACTATTATTTCAACATATTTATATGTAAATATTGAACTTCTTCCGAAATTTGCAGGTGCTGGTGACCCCTCACCCTTACATATAGGTCCACTTCTGCATTAAATGCTGCACCAAAAAGGTGTGAATATGACTGTACAGAAGACAATATCAACTCCAGCTTCTAGATCATTGTTTCTTTTCCAAGAGGACAGATGAAGATCATAAAAGTATCACACATGAGTTAACATGGATGAAGCAATACGCCAGTTAGGCAAAAATACAAATAGTTCTTTTGGGAGTCCGGGGAAATGATCTTTAATCGAGTTCATGCTAGAAAAGTAACCCAAACACCAATGTAGTGGCAAACTTACCGGTTGACATATAACCCCTTCCCCTCTTCTTTCCATGTTTTCCTTTCTGGCTGTAATATAACCCTTTCCCTCGTCTCGAGTTTTCCTTTATGCAACGTCCAGATTCAGGGGTTCTACTGAGGGATGGAGAGTGATGCCCCCCCCCCCTCAATATAACCCCTTTCCCTCGTCTTTTTTTTTTGAAATAGGTAACTTTATATTCACACAAAAGAACTCATCAAGAAATTGATGAGGAGGGATTTACAAACCCCCAGGGGGTGCCATCATTCTCAAATCCAAAAACAAATTTTCAAAAATTTACAATTGGCCTATAAACTCCACTACACTATCTACTTCCCCCACTAAATCTTGCTTACACCAAAAAAACAAAAGACTAAGGCATTTCATCTTGATCATCTGGGAGCTGCTTGACCTCCCCTCGAAGCACCTTCCATTTCTTTCTTTCCATAGTGTCCACCAAATGCAAGCAGGTACATTTTTCCACCAATCTTCCTTTGATCCTCTCTTCCCAATTCCTTGCCAGTGTGTTAGTACCTCAAAAGTGGTTCTGGGCATTGTCCAATTAACCCCGAGTCTACAAATGAACATGTTCCACAGATCTGTAGCCATCTTGCAATGCAAAAATAAATGGCCATTTACTTCAGCCTCTTGTTCACACATATAGCACCTTGAGCAGATCTGTATACCTCTTCTTTGTAGCACTTCGTGGGTTAGACAAGCTCTTCTAATTACCAACCAAGTGAAGCAAGCAACTTTTAGAGGGATCTTAATCTTCCATATTAATTTCCAGGGCCAAAATGTTGTCAAAGAGTGGTTGGTGTTCCTTTCCCTCGTCTTGAGGGTTCCCTTCATGCAACATCTGGATTCCAGGGTTCTACTACTGAGGAATGGGGAGTGATGCCCCCCAGCCCCACCAAACAAAGGTCCTTTCTGTGTTTAGATGATATAGAAAAACAAGGCAAGGTGGTTGATACCAAGCACAGCATTGTAAAGCATGCGGAGAAAGGAGATATGGCAGAGGTAAACTTAGTCGGGGGTGACCTCTCCAACCCCTAGTACACTCCAATAACCCCCTCTTCAATTGCCAACCAACAATGCAAACAGCAGTCAAACTCAATTCTTCTAGACTTTGCTTGTCTGCAACTTAAACATTTTGACTATTTAGGGTTTCTATTACCCCTATTACAACTTTCAATGTCTATTGGTGCTTTTCACGCGCCAAGCATGTGGGATTTTTTAAAATTTGAATACATTTTATTATTATTTTTATCTCACATAGACCACCTTTACCAGCCAGAACTAAAAAAAGGATGGAAGGTATCAGTTTTTAGGACATAGTAACAGTTCCTAAAATTATAAACATTTCATTTGACTTCAAATTAAATTATTTCTGTTAAAACTCACGCACTTTTGGTAATCCATGTAACAAGCTTGACGGAAACTCTTTTTTTTTCAAACGAATCTATTTATTTTACTATTTAGACATGCTAGTTTAATCCCACAGTGGGATTCGGGGAGGGTGGTGTGTACACACTCTTACCCTTACCTTATGAAGGTAGAGAGATTGTTCCGATAGACCCTTGACTCAAGGAAAGCATACCAAAATCAAGTATGTAAAGCAAAAACATGAGCAATGAGATCATGCTAAAAACAATCAAGAAGAGAACTGTAGCAACAAGAAATAATACAATAATTGAAGCAAAGGAAATCACAAGTAATACTCAGATCAAAAAATAAGATAGTACGAGAGTAATAATAACACTAATGATTTCTTTTCTTTTTTTTTAAAACACTACTGATAAGGGAACTAGACAATATTTGACTACCTACTAACTTTCTAGTTTCCACCATAATCCTGACCTTCATATCTTCCTATCTAGGATCACGTCTTCCATCAAGTTGCAAGTGTATCATGTCATGTCCAATCACCTCTCCGCAAAACTTTTTCAGTCTACCTCTACCTCTCCTAATACCCACTACAATTAACCTCTCACACCTCCTCATTGGGGCATCAGTACATCTTTCTCTTCACATGCTTGAACCATCTCATCTTGTCCACCATAGAGGCTACTCCCACCTTATCCCAGATAGCTTCGTTCCTGATCCTATATCTCATTTTCTGGATGTGCGAGTTCTTGACCAGCCACCACTGTGCCCCATCCAACATAGTTGGTCTAACCACCACTATATTTTATGCAATCTGCATTTGTTTTAACTAAATTTATTTTTCTGTTTATACTTGTGCATATTTGGAACTCCATTTTTTGACTAGATTGTAACAAGTTTGGTTGCAACTCCATTTTTGGGGCTAGATCGAATTTTCTAAACCAAAAAAGAAGAAATCAAGAGGGGAAAAAAGCAACAAAAAAATATGTAGCTGAATCATCTAGTCATGGTATATGATTGTGTGGCAACTAGATGGTGAACAAATAACCACACAGGCTTATTTAACACTATTTCCCATGCTCATGCGTCAACAAAGAACTGAAACCAGTCTTCCTGTAACTTGGCACGTTCAGTGAAAGTAGACACTAGAAATAGTAGTCAAGGGGGTAAAAACACCTCACACATTTTAGATGTGGCAAATTGCAAACTGAGCCATGTTTCAGAAATTTGCTTTCGAATTAAGCCTAAAATTTACCAAAAAATTGTGTTTTATCATAAGTATATTTGTAATCAAAGGCTTGTGACATGAAAACAAGAAATAAATAAATTTTGTGGAGAAATTTCTTTCTCTTCTCTTTTGATTATTATTATTCATCAGGATTTCAATTAGAATCTTGGTATTCTTTTTTTTCTTTCCTACAGCTTTTCTTATCATGCACCAATTTCAGAATGTCAAACTAGGTATTTCAAATTGTATTTCATGATTTAGCACACGAAACACATATTCAATCACCTCTGTGAAATCTTGATTTGAGATTGTATCAATTGATAAAACCTCAGTCTTGTTCAGATTTAAGATCTCCAGCTGAATATCAGTTGTCCTCTTGCCAAGTTTGTATGGTTCAGCGGCTTTGCTTGTACCTGCAGTCAGGACCACATTGTTCAGAAAAAGAAGTTGAGGAGCTTCAAATAAAATGCATGTACATAATAATATCATAAAAGCAAGAAAATAATAAGAAGGTACAAACAAGCAATGTCCTGAAAACTACATGTAATTACCTACAACTTGCACCAGCCTATAAAGGTCTTGCTTCTGAACGTTACCAGAAATTCGTATTCTCAAAAAGGTTCCAACAACTTTTTCATGGAATTTGTCATTCTCTTCAAGAAGGTCCTCCACCAATTTTCGTCGTAGGTAAATTAAGCTGATGTTATGCACATCAATAGCTGCATACTCATCAAGATTTGATTGAGGTCCCCTATTTTCACCTTTCTTACGTTTACGTTTCCTGTCTTTGACTCCCTTTGTAGGAGTGTCAGCATTTGCATCAGCTTCAAACTGATTAAATTCTGTATCAACTACACTACCTTGAACATCATCAATCTGAGAATCCTCTTTCATAAGAAAATGAGACTCAAGTAGTTTCAACATCTCGAAGTGCCCAACACGTGCTTTTCCAAATAGCCTTTCAAGTCTTGAATCACATATAATTTGACTTTTACGACGAGGGTCACGCAGTTTGTTTGTTTTGATGTATTCGAGCAACAGAGCTTGCACATCAAATTGAGAAAGAACAGAAGTGTCACCACTTTTCATATGCTTAACAAATTCAAGCAGCTCTTTTGATGCCCACTCAGTGGTGCCAGCTGTGGAGAAGCCTTCGCTAATAGTAACAGCCGTAGTTGCGGCATCCTCTTCCTTTCTGACAGATTTCGATCGTTTTCTTAGCTTTCTTCTTTTGGTTTTACTTGCTTCCAATGTGTCAATGGATGCATCTGAACCAGAACCTCCATCATCATTATTGTCACGTTGTGCCTGAGACAGATCTTGTTTAGAAGCTGACACATCAGCTCCCTTCCGAGGACTTTTGGCATCAGCAATTTCATCTGAAGATAAAGATAGCTTCACTTTTAAATCCATTAAGTAGTCCTTGAACAGATATTCAAAGCTACTCTTGTCATCAAAATCTATCGGACCCTGGGCCAGCAAAGAGCAAGAAGATCAGAACTGTGCTAAAGGTTTAGATTAAAAAGACTACCCAGTTTAAGGAGGAAGAAATTAGGAACATCAATCAATTACCACCAGAAAAAAATAACAGAAACTAAAAACACAGAATAGTTCATGTTGCTAGCAACCATAGAAAAGAGAACTTAGTCTATTTATACTACATCAGATAATATTTTAGATATAAAATTTAATTTAACAACCCAAAATTGATCTCAATATGTACAACACTATAAATAAACCCAACCCACCTAGAGTATTTAACTAGGTCCGTCTCTCATAAGTTGTAACTACCTAAAGTAGCATAAAAGTTTATAACCAAAAGCACCATCCTCTTAAGTGGATTGGATAATGGATATATGATAGGGTAACTCCCAGGCCCAACTTCCTTACTTTTTAGCCAATCAGTTATGGTAGTGCTCTTTAATTTTCTTGGAATCTTTCTTTATGCATGTTTCCAATTAACTTGCAGCAACTTATATTTTAACTGAATGGTACTCATAGTAAAAAAGTTATGCATATGCATAGGATGTGTGACAACATTGGTTGAGAATAGCTTAATCCAATCAACAGCTCAAAAAGATAGCAAGTATAGTAGAACTACATACATCATTCTCTTCTTTACCAAGGCCTTCTATTAGCTTGACCATTCTCATGCAGTTCTTGCAAAATCCCTTGTTTCCTCTTACACATAGGATGACATCGTCTTTGATGCACCCCTTGCATAATGAAAATGTGCATGTGTAGCACAAATAGCAAGCATTCTTCTGACAAATAGTACACTGATGCCAACCTGAAAAAGTACAAAAAGAACTACAATGTAAAAGCAGTGCAACTAGAAGAAGAAACATATTTCAAAGTTAAATGGTATAGCAGACTGTTTTTTCATGTCATGAATTCAAATAAGGAAAAGTACTAAAGGTGATACTTTAGAGCTCTCAATGATAGAACTTTTTATAATAGACATTCTCAATCTAATAGTGTGTTAATAAATTTTTCTATGCAATACTATAAGCACAAGCCAATACAAATTCCCATCAACTCAAAGAAACACGGGAGGAGTTATGAATCAGATGGCAGAAGTGAACAATATAACTATAACTTTACATGTTCCCAAAAGTCATCATTTCTCTACTCAAGAACCCAAAGTAAGTCATTGAGTGAAATCTGCCCACAGGAGGTAAATTGCACACAAACTATGCATAGATATTGACACTGATTTCACTCTAGTTAAGTGGAACTTCAAGAGAACTCCATTCCAATTTAAAATAATTACAATCACCTCCTATAAAAATGGAAATAGATTTGATTAATGTATTCAATGTACCAGTAATACACACACTTCCTCCTCTATATCATTCATGATTCATCTACAGGACCCAATTGGTACTGCACAATCATTTGTCAAAGGACAAATCAACCTTTCTCTTTGTTAATTTCCTTCTATTCTATTGTTAGTCTAACACCAAAAACCACCTCTCTGTCGTTCCCAAATTTCTTTATTAGTTTTCATCGCCACTTTTATGAAATAATCCATTAATATGTATTGTAAACCTTCTCCGTCTTTCAATCAACTAATAGTTCAGCTCATTGACTTCATGGATCTACCTCATAGATGTAGCACTAATAACATTGTGTTTTAAACTGATGGAATCTATGGCTAAGACACCCTATATTTTTATCAAGATATTTGGATCCAAACGCACATCTGATTACTCAGATATTGTATCTAAATCTGAACATTGGATAGCTAAGATTGTTTTTCTCCACAACATCACAATGTTATATAATTCATCTTTATTTAGTAGAAATTAATTAATATAAATTTTATATCCTCAATATATTAATTTACATGATGTTGTATAATGTTTATTTGATGAACCACACTCCAAAAGTGTGGGCATTGGTGGTACTTGATGATAATGGTTCATGGTGCCTGGTCGAGGAGGTTGGTGGTGGTGGTTGTGCACAATCGCTGGAGGTGGTTGTGTGCTGATGACAAGAGATGATGGATGTGCAGTTGTAGCAGATGGTGATGGTTAGTGGTAGTAGGTGTGCGGTGGAAGTTTGTAGTAGAGGTAGCTAATGGTGACTACTAGTGGAGGAAATTGTCGATGGTGATAGTTGATAGTGGTGGTTATACAGGGGAGGCTAGGGAGAAGATGGTTTGTGGTGGTGGAGGTAGTTGATGGTAGAGGTTCTTGGTGGTTTGTAGTGGTCGTTGACGGAGATGATTGTGCAATCAAGCCGGGTGATAAAAGTGATTGATAGTGATGTCAGGCAATGGAAAAAATTCATGGCGGAGGTAGTTGAATCAGGTGGTATTGTCACAATCACAAGACCTTCAAGTTAAGATCTTAACAATTTTAGGACTTGGGACAATACGTGAATAATGAATAATTCAAACCTATTAAGAGCTAATAGGTGGTAAGAGCTAGTAGGTGGTTGCAAAAGGAAGGAAAAAGGAATGCACTTAATCGGTTGCCGTCGGAATGATTCATACTCAAGAATCTATTAAGTAGCAACATAATGGAGCCTATATACTCTCCATTTGGTACCGAAGTCATCGTTGTTTTGAGTTTTAGGCTATACCGCCATATCTCTTGTTCTAAATGTGCCTTGTGCTCAAGCTGAGATTTTGATGAGTTCAATGATTTCCCAAATCTCTCTTTATTGGGTGGCTTCTATATCTACTTATAGGAAACAATGTCAAAGTTCATTGGCATCTAAAGAAAATCGATACCTTTGAGTAAACCTATCATTGTAGTTTTGCACATTTCATGGATCTTTCACGTGGCTAGGAGTAAGTGTATGTTCTTTTCCTTTCTCGATAAGCAAGCACGTAGAACATCATTAAAATAGTGTGGGGAGATGTATAGTGTATTTGGATAATAAAAAAAAATTGTGGTCCTTTCTCCTCCATTTAGATGTGATGTGGATCTTCCATGTTTTGATAAACCACGAGTAAGTCTTTGGTTCACGAAGCACAGCCAAGAAGCTCCATTAACATTATTGGCATGTATTTTTCTTTTCTTTTTTTAGGATGAATTGTTGTCATGTAATTACATGATGCCAAAGTAGGAAAAATATGGGCGAGGAAAGATAAAGCACATAGTATGGCTCAATTTAGATGGGGTGAGGAAAGATAAAGCGCATAGTATTGGCTCAAATTTAGATGAAGCCTAGTCACTTCAGCCACATTCAACTTGAAGGTGACAAGTGCATGCTTTCCTGTGAGAAACCAGAACAAAAGAACTAGTGCTCAATTGCTTTTTTCCAATTAAATCTTGGCACAAGACCTTTTTATTAACTAAGAAAATATAGACAAACGCAAGAAGCCCAACCACCAACAGGTCAGGCCCAAAGTCAAAGCAAAGAGAAAACAAAACGATACAAATTTCAGACAAAACGAAAGAGAAAACAGAAATAGGAAAGTAAAAGGTTAAACTCTCATGAAGAGGTCAACTACAACTAGTGCTTAATTGTACTCATCCTCAATCTCCGAAAAATAAAACAGTCGAGACAATATTTAATGAAGAAATGAAAATAAGAGAAAGGAAGGAAAAGAAAAAAAAATAAGTCGACAAAAGAAACAATAAAAAATATTTTAGGGTAGTAATAAATATAGAACGGATATAATGCTAAAATAGCCTTGACAACCTCGTAGTACAGTTTAAACCCCCAAAAGAAACTAAAGTCAAGTGATCAGTGACTTTTATGTACCAAAACTGTATAGTATATTTTTATCAGAAGCAAACTGTATGCTATTACTGACCGAAGAATTTTGAACTCCCAAAACTGTATAGTATCAGAACAACGTAAATAATTTGAATAAGCATGCATGCATTGCAAGCACTACCAAAATGCATCAATGACATCACATTTATCATCAAACTAGGGAATGGCAGGAGATTTTGTCCTTGAACTATATCCAATTTCTGATGGGTTACAAAAGATTTTGATTTTTACTCCTTCCTATAACAGAATCTGGAGAAGTTGTCAAGACTAGCATGTAGATTGCACAGCTTTCCTCTTTCCACATCAAATGGAAAAATGACCATCACCCCTCCTCTTTTGCTTTACCTTGTCTTGCCCAACCCCTTTTCACCCTAATCAACCATAGCATCAGACTGTTTTTCCTCAAAAGCTGGGTCCCACTAAAGACTCTGAGAAGCAGTGCCAAGCTAATGTTCAGAAGATTAGAAAAGATAGGAAACCAGCTTGAGAACCACTCCAACATGCAACTTCAGATTATTTGGAATAAAAGGAATAGGATGTTATTTCAAGGTAGCTAAACCATCTTGGTATGTTATTAATGAATGAAGTTTGATTTATCGACAAAAATATTGTCCCGCAAATTTATTTGTTAGTTCAAAATAGAGTACTTTTAGCTTATTTTAGAGATGCCTTAGAAATCTCAGTGTGGAAGACATATCAATGTGTATATCTATCTTTAAAAAATATAAAACAGGAGAACTTGGTTCTACATTAATCATGTTACTCAATAAAGGCAGAAGAGTCAACAAAGAGGTAGATTAATGCACTCACCACAATTCCAACGACCCTTGGCACGAAAAAATTCCTCATCCCTGTCAATACACGAAGGATGATATGCTTTGGTACAACCCCTATACCACAAAAACCACCAAAAAGGTACCACCACGTGAGCAAATTCCACAAAACACAAACAGAGCAAAATATAACATGAATATGGTTCTAAAATAAACAAACTTTACCTACGGTCACATAGCACCAAATCCCCTCCATCAAAGCAAATGAAGCAAACATCCTCTCCTATAGTCTTCCTACTTGAAGCTCTTCCTCCAGACTTGGACTTCCCAGTACTCTTAGTATTCTTCCTCTTCCTCTTTCCTCCAGAGGATTTTCCCGATTCAGTCATTTCACTTTCAGACTCTATTTCAGTAGGAGTTGCATTAGCTGCCTCGTCTTCAGCACCCGTCCCCTCATCCTCCTCGTCTAGAGGAACAGATTCCTCTTCCTCATATTTCGTCCCTTCGTCCTCCTCATCTAGAGGAACGGATTCCTCTTCCTCATGTTTCGTCCCTTCGTCCTCCTTTTCTAGAGGAACAGATTCCTCTTCTTCACGTTTTGTCCCTTCGTCCTCCTCGTCTAGAGGAACGGATTCCTCTTCTTCATGTTTCATTGTATCCATTTCGACATCTTTCTCAGACTCTATTCTAGCTTCAACAGCTGAAATATCTACCTGTGTCGCCATTTCATCATCTTCCTCATTTTGAGTCACTGCCACTTTTTTCCCATTAGCAGTCTCGTCCTCAGCACCTGCCCCTTTGTCCTCCTCATCTAGAGGAGGATATTCCACTTCTTCATGCTTAATTGTATCCATTTCGACATCTTTCTCCGATTCTACTCTAGCTTCAACAGCTGCAATATCTACATGTGACACCATATCATCATTTTCTTCTGCATTAGCAGTTTTATTGTCAGTTTCCATTGCTTCAGCTTCCTTTTCTAGAGTGATCCCTCCTGAATCATCTAACACAACAGGAGTAATTCCCACTTCCTCGCACTTAACTTCCTCCATTTCCACATTTTTCCCTAAACCTACACTACCTTCAACAGTTGAATCATTTATCTCTGTCACTGTTTCACCATTCTCCGTCCCCTCAATATTATCATTTCCAGCCAAAATTTCATCATTCTCAGTTCCCATTGTAGTCATGACCACTTTCTCATCACCAGTACCCTCTGACATACAACTTTCTGCTTCGCCCTTTGTGACTTTCAATGCCTCTGCCACCTCATCTTTCTCTAAAGCCACCTCTGTCACCTCATCCTTCTCCAAAGCCGTTACATTTTCCTCCGTCAACTCATCTCTCACCGAGGCCCCCTCAGTCACCTCATCTTTCTCCAAAGCCGTTACATTTTCCTCTGTCACCGCTTCATTTTCAGTCACCCTAACCACCTCAACTTCCTCAGCATCACCATTACCCTGCTGAGAGCTCTCTGATTCTCCCATCGATGCATCACCAACGCCAGGCTGCTGTGAACTGTCTACGGCAACCTCTGATTCTTCGACTGGTGGGCCCACCTCCGGTGCCGGCAAAGCCGTATCATCCTCAACTACCAGTGATGGTGACGTGGCACCCAATCCGGTAACGTTATCGAGTTTTTGCTCGTCAGCGATGATAGGTTTATTCATAGATTCTTCGTCTTCCGCCATGAAAGCGGATTAAACAGCAAAACCCTAACCCTAGTTCTATATTTTTCTTATTTAATTAAATAGTTAAATAGAGAAGAAAACTAAGTGTAGCTGCTGTTGATGCTGCGAGAGCTGCATATATATATAAAATATATGAATGTATAAATCGATTGAAGATTATGAAATTGGGATTTTGTGTTTGTATCGCCTTATATGAAGAACGGTTTTCCTTTTGAGAGAGAGGGAGAGGAGGTGTGGAGTTTGGGCTGAAGAAACAAGAAATCGTGCAGGCCCATTGTCAAGCCCAACTGGGTCAATTTATAGAAAGGGAAAAAAAACGTAAATATACTAGCCTAGGTAAGATTCATTATGGGAAAAGGGTCAAAAATACCCTTAACGTATAGGAAATAGCTCAAAAATGTCTTTCTTCCATCTATTGGATCAAAAATACCCTTTATCCATCTATTTGAATAAAAAATGCCCTGAAGGTTAAGTTTAAGCCTAAAATTACCCTTTCATTTAACAGAAGCTGATGTGGCTTAAATGATTTTTTTAAATTAAATATGTGGCATTATTTTTATTTATACACATGCAATTAACTAAACCCAATTTCTTTCACAATCATACCCATTAACCCAAACCCATTTCTAATTAAAAGACCCAATACTTTCTTCATTTTCCTTCTCCAAAATTATTTGGAGGAATTAATAAAGTACTGGTTTTCAAGATATGTTGAATTTTACTTGGTTTTCAATATTCAAACAGGTTAACATCAGTTCCATCTTCTAGCAAAGCCTTTTACATTATACTTGTCCCACTGGCTCTCAAAATGTAAGCAAATATTGTTAGATGTAAGTAGTGTTTCTAATTCGAGTTCTCTTTCTCCATCAACGTTACTAATGCACCTGTTTTCTGCTCTGTATGCACTTGGATGCTTCTGATAACTTGTCGCCAAGTCAGATTCTGCTGATGATGATGACCCAATTGAGATTTTTCGCTTTTTGACTTGGATACTTCTGATAATTCGTCGCCATCTCCATGCTTTTGTTTTCTTAAACAAGTTCATGCCCAACACTTTATTAATTCACCAAATAATTTTGGAAAAGGAAGATGAAGAAAGTGTTGGGTTTTTAAGAAATGCATTTGGGTTAATGAGTATCATTGTGAATGAAATTGGATCTAATTAATTACATGTTGACCAATTAAATAATACCACATATTTAATTAAAAGAATCTTTTATGCCACATCAGTTTCTATTAAAAAAAGGAGTAATTTTAGGCTCAAATTTAACTTTCAGGGTATTTTTTTATCCAAATAGGTGGATGAAAGGGCATTTTTGATCCAATAGGTGAAAGGATGGTATTTTTGAGCTATTTTTAGTATGTTAAGGGCAGTTTTGACCCTTTTCCGATTTATTACAAAATTTAACATGAGTTTTCACTTTTCAAAACATAACATTAAAATGTTACTAAAACTTAACGAAGGGGGTCCAAAAAATGTATTAAAATAAGTTTTACGGTCAAATTTGAATGTGATTTTTTGTAGGGATAAGGGTTTGAAAAATATCCTAACTTTGATCGGATTTGCTGTTGCGATACTAAACTTTCATGAGAACCTATTACCTCCCTAGACTATTTAATACATACAAAACAATTTTCATAGACATAGACGAATTAGCGTTCGATTTATACAAATCGCCGCGATTTATACAAATCAGATGTTTCATAGCAAACATAAATTGGCTATGGAGCGCAAAAAACAAAAATGTAGCTATAGAACGCTAATATGATTTTTATCTTTGCTATTCCTAAAATTTACTCTAATAATTTCATTTAATTTTTTATTTTTTTTATTAAAACAAATTTTAGCCAGGGAAAATTGTATAAAATATTGAACTATTCATTCAAATTAAATGATATAACCATAGTTTCATTAATTGTAACCCGTAACAAACAGTTGTCATTTGCCTCTCTCCCAGCGAATCTCGCTCGCCACTTTCCCAGATCTCGTTCGACACTCTCCCTCGCCTCTCTCACTTTATACAAACACAAATGTATAAATTGTATTTGTGTTCGTATAAAGTAAGAGAAAATTGTATATACAAATACAAAATACATATATTTTTGTCCTATACACTAATAATTATACAAATACAGATCTTCCCCTACCAGTTCTCTTATGCCTTGTTCTCTTTCTCGCTTTAGTCAAACACAAATTATACAAATTACAATGTATAATTTGTGTTCTATAAAGCGAGAGAGAGAGAGATTTGATATACAAATGTTTTATTTCGATTCAATTGTATACAAATTCAAATTTTATGCAAATATACAAACACAATCATTGATGCATATACATAGTAATTACATATATACAATTGAATTGAGAGGCTGCCAGCGATTTATACAAACGAGAGGCTACCAACGATTTATACAAATGAGAGGCTGCCAACGATTTATACAAATGAGAGACTGCCAACGATTTATACAAATCTGATGCTCCATAGCAAATATAAAATTTGCTATGAAGCTCAATTATATAAACTATAGTTACAACATACAAATATGATTTTTATGTTTGTTAAGCCTAAAATTCAGTCTTTATTAAATAAAAGGCCTTTGGACTTGTCCAGCAAAAATATGGTGCAAATTCAATAGGAATGGCCCAACGAAAAATAAACAAAACTAACAAAATTTAATTTTATTTCTAAGTGTAAAAAGATAAAGTTAACTAAAGCAAAGCTCTTGAAAAAACAATCATCAACAATCTAATTTTTGGTAGTTGGTGATTTATTTTTTATGATGCCTGTATCTTTCGTCTTGAGATAATAAATTTGTACGTCTCCATTGTTTTTTTTGCTTGTTAACTGCAAAGTCATATTGCCATATTCTTTTTTGTTGAGTTTCTTTTTTCTCGTTTTATTCTATAAACATATTTATTGTGTGCATAATTTGATAGATGAGTTTATTGACTGAGATTGTTCCTCCATACCTTAAAGTATTTCACATGTTTGATAATTATCATACTACGACAGAATGGACAGTATGAAAAATATATTTAACATGTTATTTTACATTGATTTTCCACTATTAATTAATGAGTCGAGACAAAAAAAAATCTTAATGTTAATTTTTACCGCCCCACAAAAATATTACCATACTATTTGAATTGTTAGGAAATGTGGAAAAACATGAGAAATACCTTTTGCTTTATGGTTCTTACAACAAAAAATCTAGATGAAAATTGAATTACCTCTTTTTATAATTTTCACATTAAAAAAAAAGATTTTAATAAGTTTTTTTTTCAACCACAAAAGACAAGATTATACACCTTATTTAATTCTTGTCTTTGTCTAATATATGTTGAAGGATAATGGTTACTTTAAACTTTTCCCTAGAGTCTAGCTTTCAGTAAGGCCTTTTTATATCTTATGTGTCTTCCGGTTAACATATTTTTTTTGTATATGTATTATGCCAACTCATAAGGAAGTAAAATCCTTAAGAGTTTGTTCATTTCATTGTCGTGCTTCTTACACTTCTTTGATTAGAATATAGTTGTTTGGTTATATTCAATTTGAGAAGAAATGAGCTTGTACAAAACTCTTAATCATGTTCAGTTATTTAGCCTAAATAGAAATTACATTGCTTGATCAATCACCAGACCTCGACTTCGATTTTCTTCATATATTTGAACATTTTCTTCCGGGTTAAGTGTTTGTTTTGACTTCTATTATTAGTGAAATTCTATGTGAATCTTATTGTATTAGAGGACAATATTGTTACTTCGTCTGTAAATAAGGTTGAATTGGTTTTCGATAATGTCTGTCTCAGTGAAATTTTTCATATTCCAACTGTTGGGTTAGCTGAATATGTATGGACGAAGGATGAAAAATGTATATGCTCACATCTAAGTATATTCAAGGGCGGGTCACTACACGACCTAGGAAGGTGCTTAAGGGAGAAATGACACCCTTTCACAAACTAATGTATGAATTGGTGCACAAGGGTGTTCTGCCAAGAGGTGAGAGACGTCGCGTCTCCTTTAGGACATGGGATAACCAATGCATTGGAAAAAAAAGAACCTATCGACTAGCCCTCCATGATGTTTAAACATATGGCTCGAGTAGTTGATTCTAAACCTGATCCATATCAGCTGGCCTTTGGGAACCTCTTTACCACTGTGCTTAAAGCTTTTGAGGTACCTCTAGGGGAAGGCAAACATCAAAATAAGAAGGATATGATCACTAGGTAGACTTTTTTTTATTGCAGACTACTTGGTAATGACGACCAGGTTCATGCTACTGCTCCTAGGGCTACTGGCCCGGCCAGTTGCCATTTTTCTTAATGATCTTCGTGCTGCTAGGGACCAGAATGCAACACTTCTAACTGAAACTGAGTCTCTTATAACTAACTTGGCTGAGTCGTAGGGGAAGTAGCCAGGCTGAAGGACCAGTTGTTGCAGCAACAACATGACAACAATGCTCGTGTAGATAATGTATTACAGCTCTTGGCCCTATCTCACACACCTCTAACTCCTCCTCATTCCTCCTCCTGAATCCTCATTCCATAGTTTTTTTTTTTCTTCTTTTAAGATAATCTTGTTAATTGCTATGTTTTGTATGTGTGCTGGATATTTTGCTGGAGCTCCTAGTAAGCTTAAATTATTGTGCATTCTGTTTTGATTGCTTATCTATCTTTGGCCGGGTGTTTTCATTATATCTGGTTTGGATGATTAATATCCTTAGATTTTGTTCATTGATCTGGTTGTTCTACCCGGGTGTTTCCCTCGTGGCTCTAAGTTTGTTATGATATTCTATTGTTTTTGTCTTTATCCTTTCTTTTTGATATGTCAAAAAGGGGAAGAAAAGGGTTGTGTTATGTTGAAACAGGTGCAAGAAAAAAGAGTATATTTGTCATCATCAGAAAAGGGGAAATTGATGATTTGACAGCCTCTGAAATTAATTTTTATGATGACAACATGAACCAGGTTCACAAACATTTACCAGACATAAAATGAAAAGGTAGGAAGAAATTGTAGAACATGTTTTAAACAGTAATCCAGATCAAATAAGGAAAGAAAAAATTGAAGATGACTCCTATGCGAAAAGGAAAGAGACAAACAAATCCCGTAAGATTCTACTAAGGCTTAATCCACTTCTATAAAAGAACAACATCAAAGAAGAGAATATCGGCTTTCTCAATAACAAATTGAGAGAGTTTTCCGCAAAGGTAGAGAGATAAAAAAAGAGAAGAAAGAAGAACTAGAGTTAGATTTTTCTTTCTAAAGTTTAGTTTGCATTGTTTTGTTTTAGAATCAGTGCTTATGAATTATTGTTCCAAGTGTGTGAGAGAGTTTTGAGAGAAATGTAACAAGAAGTGAGTTTGGCTTCTCGGAGAGTAGAATCTTCGATTATAGTTAATCATTGAAGAGTAAAGGTACTAGAGTTAGTCCCTGATTATTGAGTTATAATCTTGAATTGTTCTTGAAGGTAATAAAATTGTGTTGTGATTTTTTTGCATGATAAAATTACTCTTTTATTGTGTTGCGTCTTTATCTAGGCAAATTAACAAGAATTTGGTTCTTGTACCGGGGGTAAGGTTTCTTCTGCCAATATTTATCTATTCAAAATAACTCCTAAACCATGGTTAAAGTTAATTGATTTTCTATTTTATCCTTGCGGTGTTTTGGTCTGCAGACTTGACGCATTACCTTTTTTTTTTAAAAATAAAATAAAATTACAGTTTTGTTGTTCAACTAGACTTTGATAAAAGCAAAGTTTGTTCAATTCCTACACTAAAATTAAAAAAAAGAGTATTTAATTTGAACAATCATAGAATTTGTGGTGGAAGTTTACCGATTTTTGAAGACTTAAAGAAATAATTAGTAAAGGGTGAAAAATTGTTTACCATCTTTTAACTTTGCTTTAAAAATCAAATTCTCTTTTCAACTTTGAACAATATCTATTTTCCTCCATTATCTTATATATATATATATATATATATATTTATTATTAGGTTTTGTAAAATGATTTGAGAATAAATAATTAAAATCCAAAGAGTAAAATATGAAAAAATATATATTATTTTTTCTTGATATGTTAAAAGTGACAAGTAAATATTATATTAATGAAATATTCTAAATTATTATTTAAAATTTATTTATAATTCGAATAGATAATTTATTTAAAAAAATTATAATCATACTTCTATTCTTATTACGTCATTATTTTTGTGTTATCTACACTGAAATATATTTTTTGAAGTTATCACTCTCCATTATTTTAATTTGTGTAAATACATATGAAGAAGAAAATGTTTATGATTCAAAATTGAGGTTGGAGTATGATTTTTAAATCAAAGACGATGCAAATAATTTTCACTTGTTAATAAACAAAAAAAACATGAAATTCATTAAAATAAAAATAAAGAACTGATCGGAGAGAACAAGGGGAAACGTGATGCTAATAAGGAAAAAGAATAAACTTCAACTTGTATATGATTTTATTTCCTTTTTAAATCAATTTTAAGAAGAATGTCACACTCTTTATTTAGTAATAGTAGTTTGATTTTAAAATACATGATTTGTAGTCACACAAACATTTATACTTATTTCAAATCACAAGTTTCATAAGTCTTTTAAACGTCGTAGCAAGTCAAACTATATCACATAAATTGAAATGACAAACATAGAATAGTTGAATAATATTTTTGCTAGAAAGAAGCTGGTCTCCTACTGTTCACATCCATTACCAAAGAAAACAGTTGTGCAACAATAGATGCAGAAAGTACCGAGGCTCGTTTGGTGGCTAGATAAGTGTAACCTAATATATGAATAACTTGGTTATTTATATATTTATTTTATATCATGTTTGATTTGCAAATAGGATAAGAGTTATTCATTTACTAATTTTATACAATATTTGGTTGGTCGGTTTTTAAATATTGTATAAAAATTATTCATGTATTATTTTTTGTACAGTGTTTGATTGCGTTTTTTGTAATCGTAACGTAATTAATACTTATATAACTTATGAGGGAATCTATATATAATTTATGCGGGATAGAAAGTGGAATAAATTTTTTTTTTTGCTTCGGAAACAAAAGGATTTTATTTACTTAATTAGAAGGCTCATCCATATAAAAATGAACTAGTGTAGACGATGTAGTTCCAGTTGCATCTCTTTTGAGAGCTTTTGATACAAACAAGAGTATTAGTTATGCATGATAAATTAGACATTCACCCGTATTAATTTTAAATGTATATAATTTACAACAAAACAAATAATTAATACATGTTAAATAATATTAAGGACATTTTAAAATCAAAATATTGACTATAAAAACATTTTCAAACCACATTATAAACAAAGTAGATTTTTATTCATTTCACAACATTTTTTACTTTTTCCCGTAAATTCAATAAAAAAATAAACAAATAATACCAAGTCCACGATTTTTTGCCTTCCTTTTTTCTTTTGACAATTTCCACATTGGGGACAACATGGAGCTCGTTGAACCTCTTGAGCTTATTGATCCATTTGCACCCGGGTCTAAATGTAATAGTATTTCAAAGCTATTTAATTACTGTCATATAAACGGAGAATTATGAATGATTTTATATACTTCCGAATAATTGTTGTCCACTATATTAAAAATAGTTGTTTAATAATACTTGTTCAATTTATAAAATTAAGAGATAATTTATCTTTTATGTCTATTTTACTCTTGCTATTAAATATTATTTATCATCTAACACATTTTTCAAAAGATCAAATTTAATAAAGTGAAGGATAATATAGTAATATTATCCCTATTATTTATTGTTTCTTAAAGGTGTGTCAAGTCAATAATGGACAACTATTGTTGTACATAAGAAGTATTGAACAAATAAAAACTCTCTAAATTAATATAGGTCGGACCATGAAATATTATTATTTTGTAGAGGTATTATTTAATCGATAAATTAATATTTATTAATTTAAAGAGTGTTTCGACACTGAAAAAATTGTTTAGGGATGATATTTCAAAGAATTTGAAAGAACCTACTTGTGAAAACGTCATTCATGAACTTAAGGTCATAATTAGTGATCTCGGTTACTGTAATAAAATAAATACATGTTTAGAGGTATAAAACTTCGAACAAATTGTAGATATCATTAAAAAATAATATTGATGATAAAGTTTAAGACGTCAGTGGAGCCTGTTGAGCTTTTTGATCCCCAAATTAAATTGGCACAACTTTGCTTATATGAAGTCTAAAGTTTCGTCTCCTGGTGTAGAGTGTAGACAAAAACTAAAGCAAGTCGCGTTCTATATAAAGAGCAGAGCAGAAGGGCAAAAGGCACTGAAAATTTCATTCTATTCTATGGAAATGGAGCACTCTCCTTCAGATGTATGTTCCCAAATGCCTTGCCAACTGGACTGGTGTCAACTGGAGTCCAACGCCTGGGCATTTTCGAGCAGAAAATACAAAGATGAATTGGGGTACCAGCGAACCATCATGTGTGAGTCTGTTGTGAATATCAAACTTATTGTCCAATTTTTGCTTAGCACCAGTAAATCCTTTGAATCTTATCTTCTTCATACAGCTGCTGCTTCTGTTGTTTCCATGTTTCCAACTGTGAAATGGAGGATCCAATCTGTTATGGAGAAAATGTCGACTTCAAATATTTCTCTGGTTCAATTCTGGGCACCCATCAAGGTCAATGGATCTACTTTCCTGTCCACTGCGGATCAAACATTTGCTTTCTATAAGGGAATTGATAAGAGGCTCTCTTCATACAGGAAGCTCTGTCTAGATACTTTGATTCCAATTGACGACTACACCGAAATTCGATTTGGCCCAATTGAACGAGTTTACACAAGATGCTTGCCAGAATATATCCCCGACGTCTCAAGTTACTCCCCTGCAGAGTTTCCACTGCTCGAACTTGCAATTCGCTTGGGAATTCATTCTTATTATGCAGTTCCAGTGTTCAACAACTATGACCAGCAGTACCGTGGTGTACTTGAGATTGTATCTACACAACCATCTCTCCATCTTTCCCATCTTATTACGGTATTTGCTCATCAATTCTTTAAATTTTATTTTCATAATGCTCAACCATATTGGTTATTCACTTATGTTTATATTCCGTATTTACTGTTTGAACAAGTCTGTAATCCTTTGTTTAATTTTCCATCATAGGGGTTGAAAATCTATTCATTTCAGTTGTATAGCATTTGTAATTCAAAGGACATGCTTTTTGGACTTTTAGAGGTATGATGTTGCCTTTTTGATTTTGGTGAAACCAAACAAAATAAATAAAAGGGATTAGAGACTGTTCTCGTTTTTATTTCCATTGCTCTACTGACTACTATATCTGTCCCACTAATTATATAGCTTATCATTTTTATAGCCGCCTGTTGATGATAGACTTGATGAAATAAAGAATGGGTTATATGAGATCCTTGAAAGAGACAGTTTACCCTTTGCTCAAATCTGGATTCCTTATTCTCCATCTGTCTCTTTAAAAGTCTTGTATCGTGCTGCTGCCTCCATCTATGAACGTTCGAGTTCAATGTATCATGAGTTTGAACATGTTTCTGAGGCCTGTTTTACTGAGAGCGGTATGGCATTGGTCGGGAGGGCATTTGCATCCCAAGTTCCATGCTTTTGCAAAGATGTTACTCTATTAAGCATCAAAGAGTACCCTTTGGTGCCTAGTGCACGAAAAGTTAGATTCACTCAGAGTCTTGCAATTTGTTTGCAAAGTAAATGCGCCAACAATAGCGTTTACGTAGTTGAGTACTTTCTACCACCCAACAAAATGTCTGCTAGAGATACAAGGACTTGCATAAATATGCTTTTATCCACAACAAAAGAACGACTTCCAGGTTTCATAGTTGCTCCTGGAAAAGAACTAGGGCAGAGGATGCTCGTTGAAGTTGTTAAAGTTTCCCCGAGTGATGAATTTGACTCCTTTGAAATTGGCCAATCTCTACTGAGTGTTCAATCACTTCAGGATGGAGGAGGAACAACAGAATTTGGCCAACGTCTGCTGAGTGTTCAATCTCTTCAGGATGGAGGAGAAACAACTGAAATTGATTCTTTCTGCCAACAGTCAAATAATGTTGTTGCTGCTGCTGCACTACTGGTTCCTTCTTGTTCATCAGACAAGCGTGACTCACTAAACTGTGAAAGGACAGTGGAAGTTGATCTGTTACTTCCTCATCCAATAGAGGAAGCTGTGACAAACAGAGGAAAAGTTAACTTGGATGTAGCACATGATGACCACATTGAGGATACACCTGAAATAATGCAACTTGATTCACACTTTGAGCAACCAAATATAGAAATTAATTCTGCGGGAAATGCAACGACTAACAACAATAAAATCCATTCGCATAAGAAAAACACAATACAAAGGATAGAAAAAGATTATGGGATAACTCGCAAGATTCTGGAGCAGCATTTTGGCATGACTCTTCAAGATGCTGCCAAAAATCTACATGGTAAGTTCACTAACTTTAGCGCAGTTGAGGTTCGTAGTGCTTTTGTGTTATTATATATATGTACGCTCATATGCCTTTAACCGAAATTATTTATGCATAGGTTCACTGAAATCCCTTTTGTGTACTTCTTTTATTGCAGTTAGTCGAGCAACACTGAAACGAATATGTAAAGAATATGAAATCACTAGATGGCCAAATTACAAGACTAGAAAGGTTAATGTCCATGTTAGCCAAGGCGTATCTTTTCAAGGTGCTGAACCATATGTGGCCGATCAACAATGTCCTGCTCTTTCCCAAGAAAAAGGCACAGATTATTTGGGTCACAAAATATCTCCTGCAACAGGAAAACCTTGTGATAGTGTGATGACAGTAAAGGTTACATATAGAGGTGATATCATAAAGTTTCAACTCTCCCTTTCATCAACCAGGGAAGAATTGGAGGGGGAAGTGGAAAAGAGGCTTAAGATATCACTTGAAAGGTTTTCAATCAAGTATCAAGATGAAGGTGACGATTGGATTTTGATAACTACTGATTCAGATTTGAGGGATAGGATGAATTCACTTAGATTGTTGGGAAGGACTACTATGAGATTACTGGTTACCCCTGAAGCTGACACATGAAGGATTTTCTGTAAGTTATATTATGGTTCATCTTCATTGCAGAAATGTTATCTTTTGGTGACATGGTGTTTGTCTCTTCCCTGCTGTGTTGTGATATGTCTTTGTCTCAGTGAACCAAGGTGATTAATGCTGTTATGAATGGGGGATTGTTAAATTACGCTTGAAGTCCTAAAAGATGCCTATATATAGAAGAGGAAAATAATACATTAAGGCTTATGCACACTTTAATTGGATGATTGTTACATATTGTTTCATATCATACTATATTATTTTAATAAATACAACGTTTGGATAGATTGTATTCATTTCATTGTTACATAATGTCTCACACCAACAATTTGAATGATAAAACTACAAGAAAAGTAGGATATATGGTAGAGCTACTATAAAAAGGTAGAGGTAAAAGGATAAACTGTGATTATTAAATAATAAGTAAAGATAAAATGAGAAGAAAATATTAAGGTAACGACGCAATCACATCAAATCGGTTATTACACAAAATGGGACTTTTTGTTGTTACCTAACGATATGATATAATAATATTTAAGTAACAATCAAAACACACATTGTATTTAAACTAGCAGTATAATACAATACTACGGGTAACAACCTCCAAACAAGGTGTAAGAGTTATGTTACTTTCTTTTGATTAGCTATTTTTATAATAACAATCTAGAATCTCCCTTATCTATTTTCCATTTGCTCTTTGATTGCATGAACAATCTATTTGTAATTAGTTCCTTTGATGATCAATACAAAGCTTAATTTGTTACATTATTGTTCGTACTCCATGCCTTTCTGTCCTTTTAGCATGCTCGATGTGCAGTTCAACACCCTCTTTGAATCAGTGAACGCACTGCAAGATTGGGTGAAGGTGATGCAAGGGAGTCATTCTAGTATGGTCTCTTCCATTTGCCGTATGATCACTCTGCAGGATGAGATGCAATCGGACTCCACGGCTTCGGATACTCCAGATATTTCAGGTGCTACAACTATCACCTCTGTGTGAGAGTCAGATTACAATGATAGTAACACCGAGTTGGCTGATGTCGTGAAATCACCTCTGGATTGACAGCTTTCTGGAGAAACAATACCAAAAAAAATGTTTTCCGACATTCGGTCTAGTGCTTCGGTTGTCATCACTTAGACCACCGCACATAATCTGAATTTTGAGATTGAGGATGTTGACATCCAACCGGTAGCTATAGAGTTTTCACAATTGTTGGATTTTGACTTTGCATTGCATTTTCGCAAGGATATCTATTTACAACAAAAAAATGGACATTCCTGTTGACTTCTCTAATCATAGTAAACCTGGATAATTTTTCACCATTTCTGAGAACATCTCCTTTTCCAAATCTGCCATATAATAAATATTGGAACTGCATTAAAAAGAGGTCTCAGTTTAACATTACAATCAGCACCCCACCATTTGTCAAGTGTTTGTTTCAACTGTATATAAGGTCCCTGTATCCCTGCAGGTCTTGATAGAGTTCTCCATAGAAAATTGGCATTTGGGCATGCTACAAACAAATGATCAAAAGTTTCTGTTACAACAAACACAGGTAACAGAGTCAACAATTCTGCACCTAATTAATACCTCTCCAATGGGGTATTCTTTTAAACTACATTCTCCATAGAAGAAAAGAAACTCTGAAAGGAATTCCTTTTTCCCAAATGATCATATCATATCCTGCTGGTTGTCCTTCCTTTTTCTCAACATTTCCCAAGCACTTCCAACTGTTGGGCATCCACCATTAGGGGTGGGCATAAACACCGAAAAATCGAAAAACCGAACCGAACCGAATTATTTCGGTTTGGTTTTCGGTATACGTTTTTGTATTTTTCGGTATTTCGGTTCAGTTTTCGGTATGTAATTTTTGTGTTATTCGGTATTTCGGTTTACTGAAATATATTATATTATAATATATATTAATATTATATTAATTATTAATATTAAATATAATTTAAAATAAAAAGCAAAAGTAGGTCAAATCAAAAGTTTGTCTTTTCAAACTTTTGTTACTTTTCCTGTTTTCCACTTTACAGTTCCCAAAGGCCAAAAGTGGCCATCCCTCTTCCCACGTTCCCATGTCCACAGACTACAGCAACAACGACTGAGTTCCGGCGACCGGCGACCAAGAGTAGCATGCAGCAACCACCAGTCGACCAACAGGCAGCCGCAACACAGCAGCCGACCTTTCCAGTTTCCACACAGCCAGGCGCCAGCCGTGAGCAGATCATCGACCACTTTCCACTTCCGCCGACAACCATAGGTATTGTATTTCTTCTTCCATTTTAAGTTAACAAGTTTCAAAATGAATATTTCTTCTTTCATTTATTTTTCTTTTTGATTTTTGCTTTTGTTACTAGTTAGTGTGTGAATTTATTGTGAAATAATTTTTTCAAAATAACATAAAACCGAAATAACATAAACCAAACTGAAATAATATAAACTGAATCGAAATAATAAAAACCGAACTGAACTGAATTATTTCGGTTCGGTATTCGGTACATGTTGTACAAGAACCGAAAACCAAAAAAAAAACCTGAAACCGAACCGAAATACCGAATGCCCAGTCCTATCCACCATGGTTTGTCCCTTTCATTAGAAGATAGACCAATACACAAATTAGTATTCACATGATCACATATTTCTTCCCCAAACCTCTCCCTTATCATTGTAATGACCCGGTCGGTCATTTTTGGAAAGTTCCGTGAAATTATCATTTTGCCCTCTCAATATTGATCCCGAGTCTTTTATGATTGAGTTTGAAAAGTTGATTTTTTTGAACTTGAGTTAAAATTTGAGAATTTGGTAAGTTTTGAGTTTGAAAGATAAAGTTGTTAAGAAAGTGGTTTTCAGTGTCTTTTGGAGTTTCGAATGTCGGAATGGAATTCCGTCGATTCCATTAGTCCCAAAATGTGAAATCTGACTTGCGAGAGTTGTTGGTTTCTGATTCTGAGTCTTTTTGAGGATTTGAGGTCCTAAGTTGTGAAATTGTGGAATTTAGCCTTTGGGTGGACTTTGGTCAATATTCGAGGTTCAAATGCTCGGATCGAAATTCTGAGAGTTCCGTTGGTTTCGGGGGTGATGTTAGGCCTAGGTGATGTCTTGGTTGATTTTCGAGAGGTTCCGAGCTTGTTTTAGCCTTTTTAGGCGTAAGTTAGTTTCTTGTGGTTTTCGCGGATGTCAAAATTGTAACACCCCAAAAATTTATAAGTCAAGACCCGAACTATTCTTCATTTACATGTAAGGTCGTATCGGGTGATTCTTAAATTGACTATATGCGTAAAGGTAAATTCTTTAGTGTGGGAATGATATTGGATATCAATTAAGGTCACTAGAAACTCCTAGCACAAAGTTGAGTTGAAATCTTCATTTCCGATTAAGTTTTGACATAAGATTCTACTTTAGTTAACTTCAAACGATCATATCTCCCAGCACATAATGAATTAGGTGTCCTATGACCTACCAAATTAAAGGTCTTTGAGTCCTCTTTCCAACGCCACCAAGTTTGCCTCATTTCGTGTTCGGAGTAAAAAGTTATGACCATTTTACCAAAGACTGTCAAACTAGAGTTTTCTGAGTCTGTGAACGACGATCCCAAGCAACGGGTCGTAGGTTGAACAACGACCTGTCCTGTCAGGTCGTCGATAGAATATTGAGGGTCAACTTTTGGGACCCAAATCTTGCATACCCAACCGACGGGACGTACGTGGACCTACGGGCCGTCGTTTGGACCCGTAAATGAACTTTTGAGCCTTAAAAACTCAATATAAAATCCATGGATGAGATCTACAGTTCATGGGTCAAACCACGACCCATAGAAGGTTTTTTCGCCAGTTTTAAGAAGGGTAGTTTAGTCTTTTCTCACCCTTTCTAAGCCCAACCCACGACATTTTTTCACCTAAGTAAGGTCTAAACAATGTTAAACATTATTTTACGTTCACACTTCAAAGACTTGGAGCAAGGATTCAAGAGGAGAAAAACTAAGATTTTCTATCGTTCTTCGATATTCATCGATTTCACTAAGGACTTTGTTCTTTCCAGGTATGAAAGGCTATTATAGTGTTGGGCTAGTTCCTCCTCACGTCCTACATCTACTTTCAAATTAGTAAAAGAGTAATCTAAGTTTCTAGAGTTGATTTTGAGTTCTTGAGTTCCTGATTCTTTTTGAAATTATATTCATAATTATTGAATTGCTATATGTTATGCATTAATATTTTTGAGTAGATTCGTTCATGTCTATATTTCAACATGAACCCTATGAATTGAGTATTCTTGAGATGAGAAGTATCGTTGAGTTCTGAGTATTGAGTTTTCTATATTGTTATTGAGATCCTTGAGTTGATTCGTTCATGTCTATAATTCAGCATGAACTCTATTTTGAGTTATAAATTTTGAGAATCTTTTAAAGCCAACATATGTGTTTTAAACTGAGTTTTTGAGAAAGTAAAGAGGAGTTTGAGAAAGAGTTTTAACCAAGATTTGAACAAGAGTAGAAGGGAACTAAGCATTTCCCAAATGTTCTATTGTTACATTGAGCAGAGAACTATGATTCATGATTAGTATGACCGTCGAGTGTGCCATTAATGTGTAAACAGTATGACATTTAGATATGCCATCAATGTTTATGCAGTATGACTTTCCGAGTCATCAGTGATCAGATCACAATAAACGTTTGTTTTAAACTATTTTTTTGAGAAAGTAAAGCGGAGTTGAGTAGAGTTTAAAAAGAAATTTTGAGTAAAGTTTAAGGGAACCATTGAGAAGAAGAGTGAGCCTAACACAACCTGGGTCAAGATAGTGGGGCTCCCACTCCACCTATGGACTCATAAGGTCTTCAAATCAATAGGTGACCACTGCGGGGGATGGGTCGAAACAGAGGAGGAAACAAGTATTCGCAACCATCTGAAATGGGCAAGACTCAGGATCTGTGGTGACGGTAGTAACATTCCGAGGGAGATAAAGATCGAAAATGGTGGATTGGTCTTCATGATGCAAATCTGGGTCGAAACTCCGGCGAAAGTGGAGGCCGGAGAAGATAAGCAAAATAGGTCCTTTAACCCACTAGTGGGGTCCAACAACTTTTATCTATAACTAATAAAGCACAAATTCAATCTGTTGAAAGAGAAATATTGGGCCCAAAAGAATCATTGGGCCATAACCTTATTGAAGTGAATTTACCCCCACTTATTTTAAAGGGAAAGTCACGTGAGGCACATGAGGATCACTTAGTGGACTTAAAAACATAAAAGAACTGGCTTCACAGTTCTTAGAAGTCTTCAGAGCCTGGGAGTTCTCTCCAGATTTAAATGTGAGGGAGAACATGGTATCACAAGTAACACCGGAGGAAAATTCTCTCATGCAAGTTAAGGAAATGATAGAATCCAGCATAAATAACGACATGAGCAGAAGAGCTGAGAATGAGTACATATCTATGGATCAAACTCCACCAGAAAAGACTTATAGATTCAACATATATTAGATGCAGAACCAGTGGCCATGCAAAATTTGGCTGAATCAGAAACAACTGAGACTGAAGCACCAAGCTGGGTGAACTCACACATACTGGAACTGAGCAACACCTATGGGGTAGCCTTTGAGGGGTTTGAGAAGGAAACACTAGCATTGCTCATGAGAATTGATGAGAGGAAATCGATGCTAGACAACAAAGGGAAAGAAATAACCACAACAACTCCAAAGAGCAGGGGGATAGGGAAAAATGAACTTAAGAACCTTTAATCTAGCCTAAACAAAGAGGTGGATGGGATCAGAAACAGGGGGAGGGTGCTCAGTTTAACATTTAAATGAATATAAAACTTCTCTCATGGAACGTAAGGGGTCTTAACAACATATCCAACAAGAATATTGTTAAGACATGTTTGCAGAAATGGAAAGTGGATGTGGTTTGTCTTGAGGAGACAAAATTAAATAAAGGAATAGAGGAGATTGCTAAACAGTTAAATGGATGAGATGCGGCTACATAGAAGCAGATGGAAGCAAGGGGGGAATCCTAATCATGTGGGATAGTAGAACATGGGCAGGCACAAATGGGGATGAGGGGAACTACTCAATTACTTACAAGTTTGAATCAATACAAAACTCTTTCTCATGGTTCTTTACTGTATACGGTCCACATAGCAGAAGTGAGAAATTAGAGTGTTGGGAGGAAATGACAGCAATGAAGGAACTGAGTGAAGGCCCTTGGGTCACCAGCGGGGACTTCAACACAGTCAGACACATTGAAGAAAGAAGAGGGTGCACTAGAGTCACCAATATCATGACTGATTTGTCCAAGTGGATTGAAGACTTGGAAGTATATGATCCAGAACTATTTGGGGGGAAATACACTTGGTTCAGAGGATCCAATCACCAAAGTGCTGCAAGACTTGACAGATTCCTATACTCCATGGAGTGGGAGGAGTGTTTCAAAAATATCAAATTGAGCATCCTTCCCAGAACATTCTCTGATCACATCCCATTCTAATGGGAACTGGGAACATAGGCAATCCTATTGTAAATTTGAAAATTGGTGGCTCAAAGTGGATGGTTTCAAGGAGATGGTGCAGGGGTGGTGGAGTGGCTTTGTGGTAGAAGGGTGCCCTGACTACTAACTTAGCAACAAGCTAAAGATGCTGAAACAAAAGTTGAAAGAATGGAGCAAACAAACCTTCAATGAAAGAACCAGAAGGAAAAATAGCCCTACTAGAAGAATTGTCTGAGTTGGACAAAATCCAAGAAGAAAGAGAACTGTTTGAAGATGAGGTGTTGATAAGAGCAACAATACTTGTGGAGCTGGAAGTATTAGCAAAGCAAGAAGAAGCCAGTTGGAGGCAGAAATCTAGAGCTTTGTGGTTGAAACAAGGAGACAATAATACTAAATTTTTTCAAAGAGTAGCTATAGCCCGCAGGAGATATAACACAATTGACAAGCTATTGGTGAGAGGTGAGGAAACCCAGGATCCTAAAGAAATTAAGGAAGCCATTATTGAATTTTACTCCAAGCTCTACACAGAACCTGAATCATGGAGACCTTCCTTTGAATTTAGAGGATGCCTAACAATCTCAGCTGAAGAAAATGAGTGGTTGCAGAAGCCTTTCACAGAAGAAATACTATAGACCATTAAGCACTGTGATGGTGACAAAGCTCCAGGTCCTGATGGTTTCACCATATCTTTCTTCAAGGAGTGTTGGGATGTTCTTAAGGAAGATCTCATGCATACTGTCCACAATTTTCACATGAGGAGCTTTTTTGAGAAATCCTTTAATGCTACTTTCATAGCTTTGATCCCAAAGAAACCTGAGACAATGGAATTAAAGGATTTCAGACCGATCAGCTTAATTGGAGTGGTGTACAAGATCATTTCTAAGCTAATCACCGAAAGATTGAAAATAGTTATAGGGAAGCTGGTTGATTGACATCAAATGGCATTCTTGAAAGGAAGGCAAATCATAGATGTTGCTCTGCTGGCTAATGAAATGGTTGACTCTAGGGTAAAACAGAAGAAACCAGGCATCCTATGCAAGCTAGATATTGAAAAGGCTTATGATCATGTTAATTGGAATTTCTTGCTAAAAATTCTGAAAGACATGGGTTTTGGAGAAAAATGGATTGGCTGGATACAGTATTGCATCTCAAATGTAAGATTCTCACTCATTATAAATGGTAAGCCTGAAGGATTTTTTCAATCGCATAGAGGTCTTAGACAGGGAGACTCTATGTCACCTTTTTTGTTCCTACTAAATATGGAGGGTCTGAACCACATGTTCAGAACAACAAAGGTAAATGGCTGGATAAAAGGGTTCAGTGCTCAAATAGGGAGAGGTGATGATCTGGAAATCACACATCTTTTCTATGCAGATGATGCCCTGGTTTTTTTGTGAAGCAGAAGTGGCACAAATCAGACACTTGAGAGCAATCCTTACAATATTTGAGGGCATTTCAGGGCTTCATGTTAACTGGTCGAAAAGTTTCCTCTTCCCAATTAATCAGGTAGATAATCTACAAAGTCTAGCTGAGAATTTGGGATGTCAGATAGCCTCTCTTCCCACGAAGTACCTGGGTTTGCCTCTGGGGACCAAAAACAAGGAGTTGGAGGTATGGAATGAGGTGATGGAGAGATGTGAGAAAAGACTCTTATGATGGAAAAGTCAGTACCTATCACTGGGGGTAGGTTGACTCTCATCATGTCAGTTTTAGATGGGTTACCTACCTACATTATGAGTCTATTTCCAATACCCAAGAGCATTGTGAAGAAAATTAACAGAATGAGAAGATCCTTCATTTGGCAAGGGAACAAAGAAAAGAAAGGCTACAACCTGGTGAAATGGGAGACACTCACTTTGAGCAGAAAACAAGATGGCCTTGGCATGAGAAATCTTAGCATCCATAATAATTGCTTGCTACAAAAATGGCTATGAAGATTTTGTACTAAAGATGGAGCCCTATGGAGAAGATTCATAGCAGGGAAATATGGCTTGTTTAGCCAATGGATTACTGAGGAGGTGATGGGGTCATTTGGATGCTGTGTGGGGAAGACCATCAGAAGGTTATGGCCACAGTTCAATAACAATATTTATATTAGTGTGGGCAATGGTCTGAAAACAGATTTCTGGAATGAAATCTGGAAAGGGATGATAGCTTGAGGAACTTATTCCCAAACCTCTACACCTTGAACTTACAAAGATTTGCTACTGTTGCTCAAGTATGGAGCCAACAAGGGTGGAACTTAGTGTTCAGGAGGGCTTTGAATGATTGGGAAATTGAGGATGTGGCCAGGCTACTAGAGGTGCTAAACACCCCTCCAGTCATATCTCAAAGAAAGGATAAACCAATTTGGAAGTTACATAGCAAATGAATGTTCACATGTCAAATCCTGCTACTGGAGGATAAATGTCAATCAATCAGTGACTAAAAAATGGCCTTGGAAGCTAGTGTGGAAGACAAGAAGCCCATTAAAAGTAGCATGTTTTGTCTGGTTGGTCATAAGAAAAGCTTGCCTTACACATGAGGCATTATAAAAAAGGGGGATGCAGTTTTGCTCAAGATGCTTTATGTGTGAGCAGAAAGCAGAAGTAAATAGTCATTTGTTCATTCAATGTAAAGCAGCTTCAAAATTGTGGAATATGTTTTTGTGTATTCTAGGGGTTAGCTGGGTAATACCAAAGACAACCATGGAGCTCCTTAATAGCTGGACAAGAATTGGCAACAGAGGGAAAAATGAAGATTGGTGGAAGACTATTCCAGCCTGTATATGGTGGACTCTGTGGAAAGAAAGAAATGCTAGGTGTTTTGAAGGACAAAATGATAGTTTTCAGAAGATAGAAATGAAATGCTTAATTCTTTTATTTTTTTGGTGTAAGCAAGAGTTGGTAGGGGAAAGCATAGAGATGGTCGATTTTAAAGGAAACTTGTAATTCTGTATGGCTTTTTGAGGGTGTGCCCACCACCATGTGGGATGTAAGTTTCCAATTTATCATCCCTTGGATGATGAATTTTTTGTGAATACAAAGTTACCCTTATCTCAAAAAAAAGAGGAACTTTGATTTCTAAATGAGTTTATGAGTTCAGAGATATTTCAGAGCATTAAAGTGGTTATTTTGAGTAATTATCTCAAAATAGAGAAAGAGTGTTTTATACATTTGAGCATGAGTATATTATTGGGAGTAGTATTGAGCATCGATATGGGGATGAGTTCAGACAACTCAAAATCCTCATAAACCATGTATGCCAACATGGGTAAAGAATCATACTTTTTAGATGAATCCTTAGTGCCTTCGGGCAGAGCTTAATGGATCCACTTAGTTGAGGTGTTCTATACCCCAACAAGCTATAGGACAATTTTGACAGCGTGGGCGAGACATTTTATCATCACGTAGCTCATAGTGATGGTTGTCGGTTAGAGAATCTCCCAGATAGAGTTAAAAGTGTATTTTTATTATATCACTTAATATGCTAAGTTCATAGATGAGTAAGTATTTTTGTAAAGTTTTAATGATTTCACCCCTTTATTTATTTACATTCAGTTAAGTATATATCTATATCTATTGTAATCCTTTCATTCAGCTGTTTGTTATTCAGCTATATTACATACTCGTACATTCAATGTACTAATGTCATTCGACCTGCATCTTTTAATGATGCTGATATAGGTTCTTAGGATCCTCAACAAGAGTTCGTTGAGATCACTTCGTCTTCTCGCCAACTTTTGAGTAAGACCTCCTTGCTTTCGTAGGACTCCAGTTTTATGAGTTGTTAGTATTAGTAACATTTTGAGTAGTCGTGGGTCTTGTCCTGACACTCATCTATATATAGTAGAGGCTTCATAGATAAACAGTTTTGTAGAGTCTTTTAGTTTTCAAATGTTTTATTTTAACTTATGATTCATACTCAATATATTTAGCAAAGTTTTGAGATTTAGTAAGCTGTTTTTAAATGTTTCTTCCAATTTGATGCTTATGTATGCTTGAGTTAGTCTTCCGCTTGTAGTCAGCCATGATGAGGGTTCGCTTGGGGACCAACAATGGTTCTCGAGTGCCGGCCACGTCCAGGGTGTAGGCTCGGGTCGTGACAAAAACGCTTCCCCAGAATTAGTTGAGTTGTACATTCCTAACCCAATAAACATACTTCTTGGAATTTTAGAGTTGTTGCCTTTTTGAATTTGGCGAAACTAAACAAAATAAATGAAAGTGAAAAAGAGAGATCAGTCCTACTAATTTCATAGCTTATCTTATCATTTTTATAGCCGCTGGATGATGTAGACTTGACAATATAGAGGGCGGGTTATATGAGATTCTTGAAAGACATAGTTGGATTCCCTTTGCACAAATTTGGATTCCTTTTTCTCCATCTGCCTCTTTGAAAGTCTTGTATCGTGCTGCTGCCATCAATGATCATTCGAGTTCAATGTATGATGAGTTTGAATATGCTTCTGAGGTCTGTTTTATGGCAAGCGGTGAGGCATTGGTGGGGAGGGCATTTGCATCCCAAGGTTCATGCTTTTGCAAAGAAGTTACTCAATTAAGCATCAAAGAGTACCCTTTGGTGCCTAGTGCACAAAAAGCTAGATTCACTCAGAGTTTTGCTATTTGTTTGCAAAGTAAATGCGCCAACAATTTTATTTTTGTAGTTGAGTGCTTTCTGCCATCCAATGAAATCGTTGTTAGAGATACAAAGACTTTCTTAAACATGCTTTTATACACAATTAAAGAACAACTTCCCGGTTTCATAGTTGCTTCTGGAAATGAACTAGGGCAGAGGATGATCGTTGAAGTTGTTAAAGTTACCCTGAGCGATGAACTTGACTCCTTTGAAATTGGCCAACCTCTGCCAAGTGTTCAATCACTTCAGGATGGAGGAGAAACAACAGAAATTGATTCTTTCTGTCAACAGTCAAATTTACAGGACGGGGAGAAGAATGGTGCTAATGCATTACTAGTTTCTTCATGTTTATCACACAAGCGTGACTCACTCAACTGTGAAGAGAC